TGCCTGTCGACACAATACGAAAGTCGAACTATGAATATACCGACTACTCGAGGGAAAGTCATGCGAGTGTCTCAAAAACCTATGCGACTATCGGAACTGGAAATATTTCTTCTATCCGAGGATAAGTTATGCGAGTGACTAGTAAACCAATGCGACTGTCGGCCTTTGCAAATATTTCGTCTGACCAAGGGAATATCATGCGAGTGCCTTTCGAACAATGTGAGTTACGAACATGAATGTACTCCTTCTAGTCGAGGTTATATTATGAGATTGCCTCTCGAACCAATGCGAAATTCTGAGTTATCAATATTCCATTTAGTCGTGGAAATTTATGAGAGAAAAATTAAAAACCAAAGCGACTGTTGGACATAGAAATATTCAGGTAAGTCGAGTGAAATTTATGCGAATGCCTCTTTAACCAATGCGACAGTCGGACCCAGAAATATTGCGGTTATACTAAGGAAAGTTATGAGAGTGCCTCCAAAACTGATGCGAATGTCGGAATTGGAAATATTTCCTCTATTCGAGGATGAGTTAAGCGACTGACTTGTAAACCAATGCGGCTATCGAACTGGGAAATATGCTGACTAGAAAAGGAAAACTTATGATAGTTCCTTTCGAAACATTGCGAATGTCGAACTCGCAAATATTACGACAAGTCGAGAAAAATTATGCGACTGCCTCTCGAACCAGTGCGACTGCCATATTTGTAACTATTCCGAATAGACAAAAGAAATTTATACTGGCTCTTCTCGAATCAATATGATTTACGAATATAAAAATATTAATACTATTCGAGCAAAAGCTCTGCGCATGAATTGTGATCCAATGAGATTATTGGACGTGTTAATATTCCAACTAGGCGAGGGAATGATACGCGAGTGCATTTCAGATTTATGTGAATATCGCATTTGGAAATATGCCGACTAAATGGGGCAAATTGTTAAGAATGCCTCTTGCACCGATAGGACTGTGATATCTCAGATTTGGAAGTATACATATAACAATAACAATAACGATAATAATAATAAGAATAATAATAATAATTATAACAATAATACTAATAATAATAATAAAAATAATAATAGTAACGATAATAACGATAATAGAGATTATAACGATAATAACTATAATAACGATAATAACGATAATAACGGTAATGATAATATTGATAATTATAACGATATAATAAAAAAACGATAATAATGAAAGTAATGATTATAATGATAATAACGAAAATAATAATAACATTAATATTAATAACGATAATAACAACTATAATAGTAATAATTATAATATCAGGAATATCGATAATAATAATAATAACAATAATATCGGTAATGGCGATAAAATCGATAATGAAGATAATAATAATCATAACGAAAATATTAATAATAACGAAAATATGAAAATTAAGATCATAATGACGATAATAATAGTTATTATTAAAGATACAATAATAACGATAGTGACGATAATAAAGATTGTAACGATAATAACGATAATAACTATAATAACGAAAATAACGATGATAAATATATTAATGGTAATAGTAATAATAACAAGAGCGATAATACTATACATAACCATAATAATAAATATAAAAATAATTATGATAAAAACGATAACAAAGATAATAGCGGCAATATAAGTAATATTAATAATAACGATGATAAGGTTAATAATTATAATACCTATAAATACGATTATAACGGTAATAACGTTAACAAACGTAGACAATAATAACAATTATGATAATAACAAATGTAAACACTATAATAATAATAATAATGATAATAATAATATTGATAATAATAGTAACGATAATAACGATAATACATATAATAAGGATATTTCTGATAATAATGACAATAACGATGACAAGGATTATAATGATAATAACGCTAATAATGGTAATTAAAACGATAATAACGATAACTGTATTAAAAAAAATATTAAAGATAATAACGATAAAAAAAATAATAACGATAATATCGATAATAATAATAATAACGATAATAACGTTAATGGTGATAGTATTGATTAAAAAGGATAATAATAATAGTAATAATTATAATAATAATAATATCGAAAATATTAATGACAGTGATAAAAACGATACTGACGATAATAATAATAATAGTAATAATAATAGCAGCAATAATGGCGATAACAAGGATTATAACAATAATGAGGGTAATATCGATGATAATGATAATAATGTTAATAAGGACTGTAATGATAAAAATAACGGTAGAAACGGTAATATTAATAATAATAACGAAAATTATTGTGGCAATAATATTAATAATGAAAATAATTACGATGATAAAGATAATAACGATTATAAGATAATTACAAAAATGACTATAATAACGATAATAAAGATAACAATGATAATAATAATAATAATAATAATAATAACGGTACTAATAAATTTAAGGATAATAACAATACTAACGATAATAACATATAACGGTAATAATAACGACAATAATAACAATAATAATAATAATTATTATAACAACGATACCAACAATAATAATAAAGGTAACAATAATAAAACTATTAATGAAAATAGTATTTGTAAAGATTATAGCGGTTTTAACGATTATATTTGTAAAAAATCTAATAAAAATAATAATTATAGTAATAATAATAATAATAATAATAATAATAATAATAATAATATTAATAATAAAAATAAAAAAGATAAAAACGATTTTAAATATAATAACGATGTCAATAGTAATAATAGTAATAACGATATAAACGATAATAACGATAATAACAATAATAGTTTTCTTTTTTGATGGTCTAAGAAAGCCAAACTTTACGAACTAACCCAGTGACCCTGCCCGCCAGAGGGACCCTTCACCTTTTGGGTCCCCCTTAAAGTCCCTGGAGTGTCGGGCTCACCGTTGGAATAGGCACTACCGACTAAACTCATATCCTCCCTAGTGGCATAGTAAAACCATCCCTGCACCGCCATATGGCATTACTTCAGGATGGCGCCACTGCTTCTTGTCCCTTAACTGGGCTCCCTCTTCGGCTCTACGTGGACGGAACCAGGAGCAACGTTGGTGGCTCTTCTATGGGCCACCCATCTCCTTCTTCTACTTGCTTAAGATTGACCTGACGTACCAGGCCAACTTGTTCCATTCCTTCTGCCCACGCAGCATTTTCTCGACGACATTGTCCGGCGAGATGTCTCCAAGATCTTTCTCCAAGGCTAGTCGTTCGGCGCTCCACCGAGTACATAAAAAAAGTGTTTGGTGGCGTCGTCGTTCCCCATCGAGTCCCCATAGGGGTAGTTGGCGTTTGCTACCTTCCTCATTCTAGCCAGGTAGGAATGGAACAGGCCATGCCCTGTCAGGAATTGGGTGAGATAGAAATCAACTTCTCCCGCCGACCGATTCATCCACCAGACTAGCTGAATGATGAGTCGAGCAGTCCATGTGCCCCCACGTTCCCGCTCCCATATACTTTGCCAGGCCTTGATGCTGATAGAACTGCCGAGCCTTGATGCCCTCTCCTATCCCAGGACACACTTTTGCTGGTAGACGAATTTCCTCTCCTGGGCAAATAGATCGATCGGGATTACACCGGCGACAACTAGCACTGCCGGCTCTGAGAACGTGCGGTAAGAGCACGCGATTCGGAGGGCGCCCCTCCACTGTACCGCGGCTATGCGCTCGCGGTATTTCTGTTATCGCAGCGCCTCGACCCATATTTCCGCACCGTACAGTAACACTGCTTCAGCGGCACGCATCAGTAGTCTCCTCATGCACGGCCGGGGACCATTGACATTGGCCATGAGCATGCCCAGTGAGGCTACTACTTTTGCCGCCTTGTCGGCTGCCCTGATAATATGCTCTCCATAGTTAAGCTTGTTGTCAAGCATAACCCCGAGATATTTGACAGCCGAATTAGTTTGGACCGCCGCGTTTCCTACAATGAAGCTTTGCAAGGTGATGATGCGCTTTCTCGTAATTAGCACGATCTCTGTCTTCTGGGCTGCCAGAGATAGACCGTGGTCTTCCATCCAAGAGGTAACTCTCCGCATGAACTGGTTGAGCAGCAACTGTGCCGCCTCCGTGTCTATTGCGGTTATGACAACTGGAATGTCATCTGCGTACCCAACCAAGAAAGTACCTTCTGAGATTGCCATAAGAAAGATACCGTCGTAGAATATATTCCATATATTCTGTCCCTGTAGGAGCCCTGGGTTGCCCCCGATGTCAATTTCAAGTTTCTTGGACCATCACTCGTGTTGTATACTAGGAAGCGCTAGTTTAGATAATCGTCAACAATTCGGAGTAGGTACTTGGGAACGACGAACTTACGTTCGAGCGCTTCCAATGCCAGGTCCCACCTGACGGAGTTGAAGGCATTCCTCACGTCTAAGGTGGCCAGCAGGCACAAAGGTCGACTTCAACGATTGCCTCGCTCCATTATCTTAGCGGCCGTGACCACCTCCTGGACTGCGTGGAGTGCTTAAACCAATTATAAAGTTCTTTGGGGCACAAGATCAAAGAGTGCCAGGTGAGTGAGCATACGTGCTTTTTGTGCACAAATGTCGTTTTTGAAACTGGGAAGAATCTGGCAGGATCAAGGGCCTGCAAAGCTTTGCAGGAGGCCCTTGCAACAGCCAACAAGAGGAAAAAAGGATGAGAGTAAGATAGGGTAATCTGAATAGGAGCTGGACGGCGCATCACCTTCTAACCCAACACTGCTCTGAAAAAAATGCCGATATTGTTCTAATCAGTGAACAGTACCAGGACAGAGTAGGAGTAGGATGGTACGCAGACGAATTGGGCACCGCGGCAATCTGGATCCCAGATCACAGACTAATACATGTGTCGGACCAAGGATCCGGACGCGGCTACGTTTGGGTGAGACATAACTTGACAACATATGTCACCGTATATCTCACCCCGAACGACCGGATAGACGAATTCCATACCAAACTGGACGATCCGGAAGACGCGCTGCGGTAAATGCAAGGCGATTTTATTGTGGCTGGAGACCTCAATTCCAAAGCTTTGGAATGGGGGGAGGCCAGGCCTATCTCCAGAGGAAGACGAACGTTGGAGGTGGCGTCGAGACTGGAGCTATCAGTACTCAACAAAGGATCAACGTCATCCTTCCGCAGGCCTGGCTATAGGGAGACAATCCCGGATGTCTCTCTAGCCAACGAACACCATGTGGCAAGAGTCGCATGCTGGCAGGTGATCGAGGATTATACCGGAGGCGATCATCAGTACATTCCATTCGATGTACATGATTGAAGGCCAGCCGTGACAAGTGTTAAGTGACCCCCGCGGTGGAGCATTGCAAAAATGGATCGAGAGAGTCTGTCTTCGGTCATAGAAGAAGGATGGAGATCCCAACAAAATACTTCCGCGAGTCTATCACTATTCGCACAAGCGAGGTTGATTAGCGCAGCGAACATGCAGCTCATCCAAAAGGCTTGTGCGACAGCGGTGCCAAAGAATGGCACGAGACGGCAGAGACGCCCTGTATATTTGTGGGCGAACGAGATTGCAGATCTTCGCAGAAAGTGCTTAAGGCTACGCCGTTTAGCACAACGAGCGAAGAGACGCGACCACGACGCTGCTCTTTGGCTGCAGACTATCAAGCGGCCAAGAAAGTCCTGAAGAGGACCATCAAGGCCAGGCTACGACGGTGCTGGAAGGAGCTGTGCCTGGATGTCGTCCAGAATCCGTGGGGATTAGGGTACTTCATCGTCACACGCAAGCTGGGGACCAACACGCAAGTGTCCCCTCAGGACGCGAGGACGTTGGATCACATCGTGCATACTCTATTTCCCTCACAGCCGAAGAGAGAGATCAGCTTGGATGCGCCCTGCATAATCAAGGTACCGCAATTCACGGAAGAAGAGCTACTCAGGTTCGTATCTTCTATGCGGAGCAAGAAAGCTCCAGGTCCAGACGGACTTCCAGCAGAAATAATCAAAGTCGTCGCGCAAAGTCATCCTGAGCTCTTGCTGAACATGTATAACACGTGCCTCAGTGGGTGCATCTTCCCCGCTCCATGGAAGAAGGCGAGGCTTGTGCTCATTAGCAAGGGCAAGGGTCCAGTAGGGGCAGCTTCATCATACAGGCCTACTTGTATGCTCGATACGGCTGAAAATCTCCTGAAGAAGCTGCTAATGCCAAGGCTACACGCAGCCGTGAAGGCAGCGCGGGATGTTGCCGCCCGCCAGTACGGATTTCGATTTTGCCTCTCCACCATCCACGCAGTCCTGGAGGTTGTCACGGCCGCTAAAATGTTTGAGCGAGGAAATCATCGAACTCGGTCTTTGTGCCTGCTGGCCACCTTAGACGTGAGAAATGCCTTCAACTCCGTCAGATCGGACCTGGCAAGGGAAGCTCTAGAACGTAAGTTCGTCGTTCCCAAGTACCTACTCCGAATTGTTGACGATTATCTAAACTAGCGCTTCCTAGTATACAACACAAGTGATGGTCCAAGAAGCTTGGAATTGACATCGGGGTCAGCCGTGGTCTCCATACTGGGACCGGATATATGGAATATATTCTACTACGGTATCTTCCGTATGGCAGTCCCAGAAGGTACTTTCTTGGTTGGGTACGCAGATGACATTGCAGTTGTCATAACGGTGGGGCAAGAGACACGGAGGGGCACAGTTGCTGCTCAACCAGATCATGCGGAGAGTTATCTCCTGGATGGAAGACCATGGGCTATCACTAGCAGCCCAGAAGGCAGAGATCGAGCTAATTACGAGGAAGCACATCAACACATTGCTCAGCTTCATTGTAGGAGACGCTGCGGTCCAGACTAAGTCGGCTGTCAAATATCTCGGGGTTATGCTTGACAACAAGCTTAACTATGGAGATCATATAATTTGGGCAACCGACAAGGCGGCAAACGTAGTAGCCTTAATGGGCATGCTCATGGCCAATGTCAATGGTCCCCGGCCGTGCATGAGGAATCTACTGATGCGTGCCGCCGAAGCAGTAATGTTGTACGGTGCAGAAGTATGGGCCAAGGCGCTGCGAAAACAGGAATAGAGCAAGCGCATAGCCGCGGTACAGAGGAGGGGCGCCCTCCGAATCGCGTGCTCTTACCGCACGGTCTCAGAGCCGGCAGTGATAGTTGTCGCCGGTGTAATCCCGATCGATCTATTTGCCCAGGAGAGGAAATTCGTCTACCAGCAAAGGTTTGTCCTGGGAAAGGAGAGATCATCAAGGCTCGCCAGGTCTATCAGCATCAAGGCCTGGCAAAGTATCTGGGAGCAGTAACGTAGGGGCAGATGGACTGCTTGACTAATCAGTAAGCTGCGCGACTGGATAAATCGGGAGGCGGGAGAAGTTCATTTCTACTTCACACAATTCTTGACAGAGCATGGCCTGTTCCGCTCCTACCTGGCTAGAATGAGGAAGGTCGCAGACGCCGACTGCCCCTATGTGGACTCGATCAACGACGACGACCACCATACATTTTTTTTATGTACTCGGTGGAGTGCCGAACGACTAGCCTTGGAAAAAGACCTTGGAGACATCTCGCCGGACAACATCGTCGATAAAATGCTTCGTGGGTAGAAGGAGTGGAACAAGTTGGCCTGGTACGTCAGGTCAATCTTAAGCAAGAATAAGAAGGAGATGAGTGGCCCATACAAGAGCCACTGACATTTCTCCTGGTTCCTGCCACGTATAGCCGAATAGATAGTACAGTTAAGGGACAAGATGCAGTGGCGCCATCCTGAAGTAATGCTGCATGTCGGTGCCGGGATGGTTTTACTATGCCACTAGGATGGATATGTGTTTAATCGGTAGTGCGTATTCCAACGGCGAGCCCCGAAATTCCATGAACTTTGAGGGGGACCAAAATGGTGATGGGTCCCTCTGGCGGGCAGTTTCCCTGGGTTAGTGAGTAAAGCTTTGCATTCTCAGACCATAAAAAAAAATTGTTTTTGGTATTATTATTATTATTGTTATTGTCATTATTATTATTATTATTATTATTATTATTATTGTTATTGTAATTATTATTGCTATTATTATTATTATTGTTATTGTTATTGTTATTATTATTGTTATTGTTATATGTATTATTAATGTTATTGCTATTATTACTGTTATTGTAAATGTTAACAATAATAACAATAATAACAATAATAATATTGTTATTGTTATTGATATTATTAATATTATTGTTAATGTTATTACGTTTGGTATTGTCATTATTATTATTATTGTTATTGTTACTGTTATTATTACTATTATTGTTATTGTTATTATTAAGATTATTGTTATTGTTATAATCATTATTATTTTTTTATTATTAATTTTATTTTTGTTATTGTTATTGTTATTATTATGGTAATTATTATTATTATTATTTATATTGTTATCATTATTATTATTGTTATTGTTATTACTTTCGTTATTGTTATTATTGTTATTTTTGATATTGTTATTGTCATTATTATTATTGTTGTTGTTATTATTATAATTATTATTATTATTATTACTATTTTTGTTGTTATTATTATTATTATTGCTATTATTATTATTAATGTTATTGTCAATAATATTATTATTTTTACTGTTATTCGATATTATTTTTGTTATTGTAATTATTATTATTATTGTTATTGTGGTGTTTATTATTATTGTTATAATTATTTTTTTTAGTTTTATTATTATTATTATTGTTATTATTATTATTATTGTTATTGTTATTGTTATTATTATTATTATTATTTTTGTTAATTTTACTAATAATGATATAGTTTTTATTATTATTGCTATTAATATTTTTGATATTGTCATTGTTATTATTATTGATATTGTTATTATTTTTCCTATTGCTATTATTAATATTGTAATTTTTATTATTATAAATATTGTTATTATTATTATTATTGTTATTATCATTAATATTATTATCTTTATTGTTATTGCTATAATTATTGTTATTATCAGTGTTAATATTATTATTCTTGTTATTGTTATTGTTATTATTATTGTTATTTTTATTATTATTATTATTGCTATTATTATTATATTCGATAGTGTCATTGTTATTATTATTATTATTGTTATTGTTAATGTTAATAATATTACTATTCTTATTGTATTATTATTTTTATTGTTAATGTTATTATTTTTATTATAGTTATTGTTATTATTATTATTAGTGTTATTGTCATTTTTATTATTATTGTTATTGATATTACTATTGTTATTGTTATTGTTATCATTATTATCATTATTATTGTTATTTTTATCGTTATTGTTGTTATTATTGATATTGTTATTATTATTAATATTGTTTTTGTTATTATTATTAACATTGTTATTGTTTTTGTTATTATTATTGTTATTGTTATTTTTATTATTATTGCTTTTGGTATTTTTATAACCATTACTATTGTTATTGTTATTATTATTATTTTTGTTATTGTTGTTGTTATGTTTATTTCTATTATTAACATAATTCTTAATGTTTTTGTTTATTATTGCTATTATTATTTATGTTATTGTTTTAATTATTGTAATTATTATTATTATTATATTGGCTATTTTTACTGTTATTCTTGTTATTATTGTAATTGTTATTAATATTTTTATTGTTATTTATATTATTATTATTATTATTATTTTTATTGTTATTTTTATTGGTATTATTATAGTTATTGTTACTTTTATTATTATTGGTATTGTTATTGTCATTATTATTGTTATTGTTATTGTTATTTTTATTGTTGTTGTTATTATTATTGATATTGTTATTATTATTGCTATTGTCATTGTTGTTATTATAATTGTTTATTTTGCTACTTTTTTAATTATCACCATTATTATAATTATTGTTATTGTTATTATTATTGTTATTGTTATTGTTATTATTATTATTATTGTTATTTTTCTTATTACTTTTATTGTTAATATTATTATCATTATTATTGTAATTGTTATTATTATTACTATTTTTATGATAATAATTATTGTTATTGTTAGTATTATTGCTATTGTTATTACTATTATTATTGTTATTGTTATTGTTATTATTACTATAAATGCTATTGTTATTTATATTCCCCTCAGTGGATAGAGGGAAGTAGTATACTCCCACTGTAATCCCTGCTATCGTAAGAGGCGACTGAAAGGGACTGCCTGAATGGCGTGTGGATGTTCTTCAACGGCTATTCCTTCCTTTTTTCTCTTATAATATCTTTTTCTATTCTTTCTCTTACTCTCCATGTCCTTTCCATTCCGTTTCTTTCTATTGGGGAGCATGCCTCCCAAAAGAACATTACTCATGATAGATAGTACAGCGATAGAAAATAGCGGGCGTGGGACGGACACCCACGCCAAGACGGTATCTGGTGGTGGTATAGTAGGCCACCAGCCGTCGTCATCCATCAACTGCCAGGAGTTTAATGTAGGCATCCTGGGCCCAGCTCTGGAAAAAGCATCAGGAAGTGTACCACAGGTAGGCGACCTGGCATGCGGTGTGACAAAAGTTCTAGGAAGGGTAACATATGACGAAAGCCACTTGGAGGTGTGGCAGAATGCTGCCATAGTTGTTGATGGCTTTCAGCTTTCCGGCTTTACCGCATTTATCCAGCCTGCGATGGGAACAACCCAAGATGGAGAGAGTGAGAAATTCGCACAAGCGAAATCCCTCCTTGCCAAAATGAAGTCAGCTGTTACTAGACAGCCTACCGTGAACAACGCTATTACGCAAGAGCTCCCAGAACTTGAGGACATTATTGACAGTATCGAGTTTATGTTCAAATCACGAAATAAGGTCAAGAAGGGAGCGAGGACCCTCGCCCGATTTTCTCAGAACACTAGGGGAAACTCTATAACAGATGCTGGCGCGGTTAAAAGAGTAGCCACAAGCCCACCGCAGTTACACAAAGAAAGTCTCAAAAAACCGAGGCAAGAGACGACGACGTCCGAAGCCTCCAAGTGGACGGGTGTCGTCAAGAAGAAAAGAAATAAGGAGAAACCACCGAGAAAGACGACGTAACACCCACAACAGGTGAAAAAGAAGTCGAGCTAATCGGACGTCAGGCCGAGAAAGAGAACGAAGCCGGACGCGATCCTCCTGAAACCTGCGCAAGATAAATCTTACGCAAACGTGGTCGGAGCTATCTGTCAGCGTATCAAGACCAGCGCCGCAGGGGTAGATAGGTCCGGCACACCAAAACCGGAGAAGTTCTCCTTGAACTAAAGAAGACCACTGCGTATCCGCAGTGCCTCATTCACAGAAACCCTGAGAAAAGATGTAAGAGAAACGAGCAGCATCACGGAACTGGTCCTTAGAGCTACGCTGGAGATACGGGACTGTGACTGCTGCACATCGTTGTTAGAAGTCGAGGAGGCCCTAAAGAGGACCTTGCCAGGCTACGCGGGGAAAATCGAAATTAAGATGACGATCTCCAACACAAGAGAATACCGCCTGGCCATCCTCAAAATAGAAGAGGAAGAAGGTGCGAAGCTTTTAAAGGCCGGCCGAGTGCTGGTCGATTTCGTCAGCTGCAGGGTCAGGCGAAGGGCAGATGTGAGGCGATGCTTCCGCTGTCTCGACTATGGACACTATAGTGTTTCGTGCAACGGACCAGATCGAATTAAGTTTTACTATTCCTGCGGCGGCACAGGGCACAAGATCAAAGAGTGCATGGTCAGCGTGCCTACGTGTTTCTAGTGCTCAAATGGCGTTGTTGAAACTAGGAAGCACATGGCAGGATCAAGGGCCTGCAAAGCTTTCCAGGAGGCCATTGCAACAGCCAACAAGAGGAATAAAGGATAAGAGTACTTCAGGGTAACCTCAATAGGAGCTGGACGGCGCACCACCTACTGACCTAGCTCTGCTCTGAGAAAAAAACAGATATTGTTCTAATCAGCGAACAGTACGAGGACGGAGAAGGAGTAGAATGGTACGCAGAGGAATTGGGCACTGCGGCCATCTGGATCCCAGATCCCCGATAGATACATGTGTCGGACCAAGGATCCGGACGCGGTTACGTTCGGGTGAGACATAACTCGACGACTTATGTCAGTGTATATCTCACCCCGAACGACCGGATAGACGACTTCCAGACCAAACTGGTCGATCTGGGAGACGCGCTGCGGGAAATGCAAGGGGATCTCATTGTGGCAGGAGACCTCAATGCCAAAACTCTCGAATGTGGGGAGGCCAGGCCGGACTCCAGAGGAAGACGAATCATGTAGGTGGCGTCGAGACTGGCGTTATCAGTACTCAGCACAGGTTTGTCGTCGATCTTCCTCAGGCCTGGCTACAGAGAGACGATCCCGGACGTATCTCTAGCCAACGAACATCTTGTGGCAAGTGTCGCAGGCTGGCAGGTGATCAAGGATTATATCGGGAGCGATCATCAGTACTCCTATTCAATATACACGATAGGAGGCCAGTCGCAAAAAGGGTATAGCGACCCCCCCGAATGGTTCGAGAGAAGCTGCCTTCAGTCATAGATGAAGGTTGGAGGTCCCTTCAAATTGCTTCCGCGAGTCTATCGCCAATTGCACAAGCCAGAATGATTTCTGCAACAACTATGCAGCTCATCCAAAAGGCTAGCGCCATAGCGGTGCTCAAGAAGTGCACGAAACAGCACAGGCGTCCTGCATACTTGTGGACGAACGAGATTGCAGATCTTCGCAAGAAGTGCTTAAGACTTCGCCGTCTAGCACAACAAGCGAAGAGACGCGATCTCGATGCTGCTCCCTCGGCCGCAGAGTATCAAGTGGCCCAAAAAGCTTTGAAGAGGACCATCAAGGCCAGTCAATGACGATGCTGGCAGGAACTGTGCCTTGATGTCGACCAGAATCCGTGAGGAATAGGGTATCAGATCGTCACGCGCAAACTGAGGACTAACACGAAATGAATCCTTCAGGATGCGAGGACGATGGAAAACATCATTCATACCCTATTCCCCTCACATCCGAAGAGAGAGATTCGCACGGCGACACCAGGTAGTCTCGAAAGGCCGCAATTTACAGAGGAGGAGCTACTCAAGGTCGCATCTTCTATGCGGAACAAGAAAGCTCCAGGACCAGACTGCCTTCCAGCTGAAGTAATGAAAGCCGTCGCGCAGAGTCATCCCAAGCTCTTGCTAAACATGCACAACATGTGCCTCAGGGAGAGCATCTTCCCCGCCGAGTGGAAGAAAGCCAGACTTGTGTTCATAAGCAAGGGCAAGGGGCCAGCAGATGCCGCTTCGTCATACAGGCCTATTTGTATGTTCGATGCAGCTGGCAAGCTCCTGGAGAAGCTGCTTAGGCCACGGCTGCACGCAGCCTTAAGGGCAGCGGGGGACCTTGCTGCCCGCCAGTATGGATTCCGATCTGGCCTCTCAACCATCCAGGCAGTCCAAGACGTCGTCACGGCCGCTATAATTATGGAGCGAGGGAACCATCTAACTGCCCCATTGTGTCTGTTGGCCACCTTAGACTTGAGAAATGCCTTCAACTCCGTCAGGTGGGACTTGGCAATGGAAGCGCTCGAACGTAATTTCAGCGTCCCTGAGTACCTACTCCGAATACTCGGGGACTATCTGAACGAGTGCTTCCTAGTATACAGTAATGGCGATGGTCCAAGAAACTTGGAGTTAACATCGGGGGCAGCCCAGGGCTCCATACTGGGGCCGGATATTTGGAATATTTTCTACAACGGTATCCTACGTATGGCAGTCCCTGAAGGCGCTTTCTTGATTTGGTACGCAGATGACCTTGCAGTTGTCATAACCGCAAGAGACACGGAGGAGGCACAGCTGCTGCTCAACCAGGACGAGCGCAGAGTCATCTCCTGGATGGAAGATCACGGGCTATCTTTGGCAGCCCAGAAGACAGAGAACATGCTACTTACGAAGAAGCGCATCAACACCTTGCGCAGATTCATTGTAGGAGACACGGCAGTCTAGGTTAAGTCGGCTGTCAAATATCTGGGTATAATGCTCGACAGAAACCTTAATTATGGCGAGCACAAAATCAGGGCAGCCTACAAGGTGGCAAAATTAGTAGCATCGCTTGGCACGCTCATGGCAAACGTCAACGGGCTCCGACTGTGCAGGAGGGGACTACTGATGCGTGCCGCCGAAGCAGTGATGCTGTACTGCGCTGAAGTCTGGGCAGAAGCGCTGCAAAAAGAGGTATGTCGCAAGCGCATCGCCGCCGTACGGAGGAGGGGTGCTCACCGAATCGCGTGCTCCTACCGCACGGTCTACGAGCCCGCTATGCTAGTGGTCGCAGGGGTAATCCTGATCGATCTACTAGTCCAGGAGAGACTATCCGTCCACCAGCAAAGCTGTGTTCTGGGAAAGGAGGAAGCATCAATGCTCGCCAGGTCTACCTGCATCGACACCTGGCACAACAGATGGGAACAGGAGCATCTGGGCAGATGGACGGCACGACTCATCAGTCGGCTAGACAGCTGGCTAAACAGAGAGGTGGGGGAGGTCGACTTCTACCTCACTCAATTTTTGACAAGGCATGGTCTGTTCTGTTCCTACCTCGCAAAAATGAGGAAGGTAACTGACGGCAACTGCCCCTATGGCGACTCGACCGTCGACGACGCCCTCCACACATTCTTCAAATGTGTTAGGTGGAGCGTCGAACGACTCGCCTTGGAGCAAGACCTCGGAAAAATCTCGCCAGACAACATTGTCGAGAAAATGCTCCAAAGTCAGGAGGAATGGAACAAGTTAGCGCGGTACATCAGGACCACCTTGCGCCGAAAAAAGATGGAGATGGGTGGCACATAGACCTGCCCCAAACGTTGCTCCAAGCACCTGACCCTTAGAGCCGTAGGGAAATTCCTGTAATGGGACCTGTTGAAGTGGCGGCATCACGAAGTAATGCCACATGGCGATGCCGGGATTGTTTCACTATGCCACTAGGATGGACATGAGTTTATTCAGTGGTGCCTATTCCAAAGGTAAGCCCGACATTCCAGGGATCTAAATGGTGGAACAAAATTGTGAAGGGCTCCTCTGGCAGGCGGGTTCCCTGGGTTAGTGCGTAAAGACTGGCATTCTCAATCCATCAAAAAAAAATTATTACTATTGTTATTGTTATTATTATTGCTATTCTTATTATTATTGATATTCTTATTGTTATTGTTATTGTTATTGTACTTAATATTATTATTATTATTGTTATTGTTATTATTATTATTATTGTTTTTGTTAATATTATTATTATTTTTGTTATTATTATTATAATTGTTTTTGTTATTGTTACTATTATTTTTATTTTTTTTATAATTATTATTGATATTGTTATTCTTACTATTATTGCCATTGTTGTTGATATTATTCTTGTTCTTCTTATTATTATTTTCATTGTTATTGTCATTAATATTATTATTATCATTGTTACTGTCAGTATTATTATTATTGTTACTGCTATTACTAATGTTATTGTTATTATTATTGTTAGTGATATTATTACTGTTAATGATATTGTTATTATTATTGCTATTTTTATTGTTATTATTATTATTATTGTTATTATTATTATTATTATGAATAAAATAATAATTATTCTTATTCTTATTATTATTATTATTATTATTATTATTATTATTATTATTATTATTATTATTATTATTATTATTATTATTATTATTATTATTATTATTATTGTTGTTGTTGTTATTTCTGTTACTATTATTATTGCAAATTGTTATTAATATTATTATTGTTTTTGCTATAATTACTAATATGATTTATCTACTACTATTATTATTGTTATTGCTATTATTATTTTTATTGTTAATATTATTATTGTCATTATTGTTATTACTATTATTTTTATTATTGTTATTAATATTATTATTATTATTATTATTATTATTATTATTATTATTATTATTATTATTATTATTATTAATATTACTATTATTATTATTGTTATTGTTATTAATATTACTGCTATTATTATCATTATTATTATTATTATGATTATTATTAATTTTATTGCTATTGTTATTATTAGTATTATTGCAGTTGTTATTACTATTGTTATTATTATTATTGTTAACATTGTTATTGTTATTACTATTACTATTATAGTTATTGTTATTATTATTGTTATTGTTATTGATATTATTATTATTATTGTTATTGTTAATATTATTACTATTCTCTATAATGTTATTATAATTGTTATCGTTTTTGTTATTATTATTTTTATTGTTTTTATAGTTATTATTGATATTGTTATTAATCCTATTATTGTTATTATCGTTGTAATTTTTTGTTGTTGTCATTGTTATTATTATTATTATTATTATTATTGCTATTACTTTATAATTGCTGTTTTTATTATTATTAATATTACTGCTATTGATATTATTATTATTATTGTTATTGTTATTATTAGTATTATTGATATTGTTTTTGTTATTACTATTATTATTGTTATTGTAATTGTTATTATAATTGTTATTCTTATTAGTACCACTATTGTCATTAATATTTTTATTGTTATTGCCTCTAATTTTGATATAGTTATTATTACTATTATTGTTATTGTTATTAATATTATTATTTTTATTGGTACTATTATTATTATTGTTATTATTATTATAATTGTTATTGTCATTAATATTATTATTATTATTACTGTTATTGTTATTGTTTTTATTGTTATTGTTATTTTCATCACTATTGCAGTTAATATTATTATTTTTATTTTTATTATTATAATCATTGCTATTGTTATTATTATTATTATTGTTATTGTTGACATTATTTTCAATGTAATAAATGTTGTTACTATTATTGTTAATGTATTTAATTTTTTTATTGTTATTGATATTATTATCTTTATTGTTATAATTATTGTTACTGTTATTGTTATCATTATTCTTATTGTTATTGTCATTATTATTTCTATTGTCATTTTTGCTATTATTATTAATGTTATAGCTATTATTATTATTTTCGTTACTGTTATTATTATTATTTTTATTATTATTATTATTATTATTATTGTTATTTTTATTATTATTATTGTTATTGTTAATTTTTTTAATACTGTCATTGGTCGTATTACCATTATTGTTATTGTTATTAATATTGTTATTGTCATTGTTATAATAATTATTATTGTTATTGTATTTTTATTGTTACTTTTACTATTATTATTATAGTTATTATTATTGTTATTGTTATTGTTATTATTATTGCTATTATTATTGTCATTATTGTTAATATCGTTATTGTTATTGTTATTATTATCTTAATTGTTATAATTATTGTTTGTGTTATTGTTATTATTATTTTTATTGTAATTATTATTATTATTATTATTGTTAATATTATTATGTTTGGTATTGAAATTACTACATATATTGTTATTGTTATTATTATTATTACTATTATTATTGTTGTTGTTATTATTATTGTTATTGTTATTTTTATTTTTATTCTTATTGTTATTATTATTTTTATTGTTATTGTTACTATTACTATTATTGTTGTTGTTATTGTTATTATTACTATTATTGTTATTGTTAGATTTACTGTTGTTGTTATCGTTATTATTATTGTTTTGCTATTTTTATTATTATAGTTACTATAATATTTTCATTTTTGTTATTTTTATTATTATTATTATTGTTATTGTTAGTATTACTATTATTTTCATTGTTTTTAATGTTGTTATTGTTATTATTATAACTATTATTATTGTCACCGTCATTGTTATTGCTATTTCTACTATTATTACTATAGTTATTATTATTGTCATTGTTATTGTTATTATTATTTTTATTACTATAGTTATTGATATTAGTATTTTTATTTTTATTTTTATTGTTATTATTATCCTTATTGTTATAATCCTTGTTATTGTTATTTTTATTATTATTATTATTGTTATTATTATACTTATTGTTATTTTTTTATTTTTATTATTGTAATGCTTATTATTATTAATATTGTAATTGTTATTAATATTATTATTGCTGTTGTTATTATTATTAACATTGATATTAATATTATTGTTACTATTTTTATTGTTATTACTATTATTATTATAGTCATTGTTATTATTATTGATAGTGTTATTATTATTATTCTTATTGCTTTAACTATTATAATTGATATTTTTTATATTATTACTATTTTTTATTGTATTATTATAATTGTTATTGTTTTTGTTATTTTTATTTTTATTGTTTTTATAATTATTATTGTTATTGTTAATATTATTAATATTTTTTATAATATTATTATAATTGTTATTGTTTTTGTTATTATTATTTTTATTGTTTTTATAATTATTATTGATATTGTTATTAATCCTATTATTGTTATTATCGTTTTAATTTTTTTTGATTTTATTATTATTATTATTATTATTGTTATTGCTATTATGATGGTTATTGTCATTAATATTATTATTATCATAATTATTGTCATTAATATTATTATTGTTATTGTTTTTATTATTCATATTGATAATATTATTATTATTATTCTCGCTATTACAATTATTATTGTTATTCTAATTATTACTATTACTGCTATTGTTGTTATTATTACTATTGTTATTGTTATTATTATTATTGTGTTATTGTTATTGTTATTACTATTACTATTATTATTGTTATTGTTACTGTTGTTGTTATTGTTATTATTATACTTATTGTTATAATTATTGTTATTTTTACTGTTATTATTATTATTATTGTTACTATTATTTTTATTGTCATTTTTTTATTTCTATTATTGTCATTGTTATTATTATTATTATTGTTGTTATTATTATTATTATTTATGGTATTGAAATCACTATATTTATTTTTATTATTTTTACTATTTTTATTATTATAGTTTTTGTTATTATTACTGTTATTATAATTCCTATTATAATTGTTATCGTTATTTTTATTATTATTGCTATTGTTATTATTATTATCATTCCAATTTTGATTATTTTTATTTTTATTGTTATTATAATTATTTTTGCTACTGTTATAATAATTTTTATTGTTATTGTCATTATTATTATTATTGTTATTGTTATTATTACATTTACAGTTATTATTTTTATTATTGTTATTGTTATTATTATTATTTTTGGTGTGTTATTTTTATTTTTATTGTGATTGTTATTATTGTTATTATTGTTATTATTGTTATTATTATTATTATTATCATTGTCATTATTATTTTTTTGTTATTATTATTAATATTGTTATTGTCATCAATATTATTTTTGGTAGTGTTATTACTATTTTTAGTGTTATTGTTATTATTATTATATTGTCATTATTATTATTGCTATTTCAATATTATTACTATTGTCAATGTTAGTATTATTATTATTGTTTTTTATTATTATTATTGTAGTTATTGTTATTATAAATATTATTGTTATTGTTATTATTATTTTATTGCTATAGTTATTAATATTACTATTGATATTCTGATTATTATTATTATTATTATTATTATTATTATTTACATTATTATTGTTATTATTATTATTATTATTACTAATACTGTTATTATTATAATTATTATTATTGTTACTGTTATTATTAATATATTTGTTATTTTTATTTTTATTATTAATGTTATTGTTATTGATATAGTTATTATCATTGTTATTATTAATGTTATTGTTAATGTTATTATTATTATTTTTGTTATTATTATTATTATTAATATTGTTATTGTCATTATTACTATTTTTGGTATTGTTATCACTATTTTTATTGTTATTGTTATTTTGATTATATTGTCATTAATATTATTATTTCTATTGTCATTATTAATACTATTGTCATTGTTATTATTGTTATTATTATTATTGTCATTATTATTATTTTTGTTATTGTTATGATTATTATAATTGTTATTGTTATTATTGTTATTATTGAAAATATGATTATTAAAATTATTATTAATATTATTATTATTATTATTACTATTACTTTTATTAATGATATTATTATAATTTCTACTATTATTATCATTGCAATTGTTATTATTGATTATATTGTAGTTGTTGTTAATATTGTTATTGTTATTATTATTTTTTTTATTATTGTTATTGTTATTATTGTTTTTATTTTTAATGTTATTATTATAGTTACTGTTAGATTTATTATTTTTGTTATTGTTATTATTATTAATGTTATTGTTATTGTTCTTATTATATTTATTGTTATTATTATTATTTACGTTATTGTTATTATTATTATTGATATAATTATTATTATTGTTATTGTCATTATTATTACTGTTGTGATAGTTTTTATTATTACTATTGTCATTGTTATTATTATTCTTTTTTATTGTTGTAATTATTATTATTGTTATTGTTATTTTTATTGTTGTAGATATTATAATTATTATTCTTGTTGTTGTTATTATTGTTGTTATAGATATCATAATTATTATAATTATTATTATTATTATTACTTTTATAATTATTATTATTATTGTTATTTTTATCGCTATTATTATTACTATTGCTATTATTATTGTTATTATTAATGTTATTATGGTTATTATTGTTATTTTTATTGTTGTTATACTATTATGATTATTATTGATATTTTTAGTAATGTTGTTATCGTAATTTGTATTATTATTATTATTGTTATTATTATTATTATTGTTATTATTATTATTATTGTTACTGTTGTTATTACAGATACAGCCATTGTTTTGTTATTATTATTGTTTTTGGTATTATTATTAATATTGCTATTGTTATTCTTATTATTATTGATATTATGATTGCTTTTATTATTGTTCTTATTATTGTCATTATTATTATTATTATTATAGTTATTGTCATTTTATTATTATTGCTATTGTCACGATTATTATTATTGTTATTGTTATTATTAATGTAATTGCTATTATTATTATTATTTTTATTATTATTATTATTGTTATCATAATTTTCCTAATTGTTATTGTTATTGCTATCATTACTGTTATTGTTATTATTATTATATTTGTTAGCGTTATTTTTTTAATTTTCTTCTGGTATTATTACTATCGTTATTGTTTTTGCTATTATAACTGGAATAACCACTGTTATTATTATTATTGTTTTTATTATTATTATTTATATCGCTATTGTTATTAGTATTATTATTGTTAGATTATTTCTATTATTGTTATTGTTACTGCTATTATTATAGATATTCTTATTTTTACTCTTTTAGTTAGTGTATTTTTTTTAATATTGTTATTGTGATTATTATTATTGTTATTGTTATTGTTATTATTACTGTTATAGCCATTGTTATTATTATTATTGTTGTTTTTGTTATTATTACTATTGTTGCTGTTGTTATTTTTATTATTATTTATATTATGATTGTTATTATTATTATTATTATTATTTTCTTTATTATTATTATTATTCTTGTTATTGTTATTATTATTATTATTGCTCTTGTTATGATTATTGTTATTGTTATTGTTATTATTATTGTTATTATTATTATCATTATTATTTCTATTGTTATTATTATTATTATTCTTATTAATATTTTTATTGTTATTTACATTATTACTATTAGTATTTCTGAGATTGTAATTTTTGTCATTGTAATTGTTATTGTTATTATTTTTGTTACTACTCTTATTATTGTTATTGTTATTGTTATTATTATTGCTATTATTATTGTTATTGTTATTGTTATAATTGTTATTGTTATTATTATTATTATTGTTATTGTTATTATTATTGATATTGTTATTATTATTGTTATTGTTATTATTATTTTTATCATTATTATTGTTTTTATTAATGTTATTGTTATTATTATTATTAACATTTTTATTGTTATTATTATTTTCATTTATATTAATATTATATTTTTTTAATATTATTTTTATTAATATTGTTGTTGTTATTGTCATTATTATTGTTATTTTTTTATTATTATAATTGTTCTCGTTATTATTATTATTATTGTTACTGTTATTATTATTAAAATTGTTATTATTATTATTATTTTTTTTTTATTTTGATCGTGTTTGTTATTATTATTATTGGAGCTATAGATTTTATTATTATTATTCTTAGCGTTATTATTATCATTAATGTTATTGTTATTAGAATTATTGTTATTGTTATTATTATTATTAATGTGATTGTTATTATTATTATTGTTATTGCTATTGTTATTATTATTATTAATGATATTATAACTATTATTCTTATCGTTATTATTATTATTATTGTTATTGTCTTATTATTGTCATTACTATTATTATTGTAATTTTTGTTATTATTACTATGGATTTTTTTATTATTATTATTATTTTTATTTTTATTATTTTTATTATTATTATTGTTATTATTATTATTTTTATTGTTATTATTTTCTCCCCAGTGGGTAGGGGAAATTAGTATACTCCCACATTACTCCCTGCTTGTCGTAAGAGGCGACTAAAAGGGACTCTGTGATTGGCGTGTGAATATTCTCGAACTGCTATTCCTTCCTTTTTTCTTATCATATCTTTTTCTATTCTTTCTCTTACTCTCTATGTTCTTTCCGTTTCTTTCCTTTTTATTGGTGAGCTTGCCTCCCAAAAGTACATTACTCATAAAGAATAGTACGGCGAAAGGTAATAGCGGGCGTGGGAGGGACACCCTCTCCACGGCGGTGTTTGGTGTTGGTAGGGTAGGACACTCGCCGTCGTCATCCAGCAACTGCCAGGAGTTTGGGGTAGGCGACCTGGCCCGAGCTCTGGTCAATACATCAGGAAGTGCTCCACAGGTAGGCGACCTGGCCTGCGGTGTGACGAAAGTGCCAGGAAGGGTAAAATATGACGAAGACCACTTGAAGGTGTGGCAAAAGGCTACCAGAGCCGTTGATAGCTTTCACCATTCCGCTTTTACAGCACCAATCCAACCTGCGAAGTGGACAACCAAAGATGGAGAGAGCGAGAAATTCGCGCAAGCGAAATCCCTCCTTGCCAAAATGGAGCCAGCAATTACTGGACAGCCTGACGTGAACGACGCTATTAAGCAAGGTTCCCAGAACTTGAGGACATTATTGACAGTATCGAGTTTATGTTCAAATCACGAAATAAGGTCAAGAAGGGAGCGAGGACCCTCGCCCGATTTTCTCAGAACACTAGGGGAAACTCTATAACAGATGCTGGCGCGGTTAAAAGAGTAGCCACAAGCCCACCGCAGTTACACAAAGAAAGTCTCAAAAAACCGAGGCAAGAGACGACGACGTCCGAAGCCTCCAAGTGGACGGGTGTCGTCAAGAAGAAAAGAAATAAGGAGAAACCACCGAGAAAGACGACGTAACACCCACAACAGGTGAAAAAGAAGTCGAGCAAATGGGAGGTCAGGCCGAGAAAGAGATCGTAGCCGGACGCGAACCTCCTGAAACCTGCGCAAAGTAAATCTTACCCAAACGTGGTCGGAGCTATCCACCAGCGCATCAAGACCAGCGCATCAAAGACAGAGGTAGACGTTAGATCCGTCCGGCAGACCAGAACCGGGGGTATTCTCCTAGAACTAAAGAAGACCACTGCGGATATCAGGGCCTCATTCGCAGAAACCCTGAGAAAAGAAGTAGGAGAAACGAGCAGAATCACGGTACCGTAGAGCTACGCTAAAGATACGGGACTGTGACTGCTGCACCTCGTCGATAGAAGTCGAGGAGGCCCTAAAAAGGATCCTGCCAGGATACGCGGGGAAAATCGAAATTAAGATGACGAACCCCAACGCAAGACAACAACGCCTGGGCCCCGTCAAAATAGAAGAGGGAGCAGCTGCGAAGCTTTTAAAGGCCGGCCGAGGGCTGGCCGGTTTTGTCAGCTGTAGGGTCAAGCGAGGGGAAAAGTGAAGCGATGCTTCCGCTGTCTCGACTATGGTCACCAAAGTGCCTCGTGCAAGGGTCCTGAACGCAGTAAGTTTTGCTATTCCTGCGGTGGCACGGGGCACAAGATCAAAGAGTGCAAGGTCAGCGAGCCAGCGTGCTTCATTTATTCAAATGGAGTTGTCGAAACTATGAAGCACCTGGCAGGATCAAGGGTCTGCAAAGTTTTCCAGGAGGCCCTTGCAACAGCAAAGAAGTAGAAAAAAGGATGTGAGTACTTCAGGGTAATTGAATAAGATTAGGACTGCGCATTACTTTCTAGCCCAGCTCTGCTCTGAGAAAAAAGCTGATATTGTTCTAATCAGCGTACAGTACCAGGAAAGAGCAGGAGTAGGATGGTACGCAGACGAATTGGGCACCGCGGACATCTGGATCCCAGATTCCCGACCAATACATATGTCGGACCAAGGATTCGGAAGCGTTTACGTTTGGGTGAGACATAAATCGACGACTTATGTCAGTGTATATCTCACTCCGAAAGACCGGAAAGACGACTTCCAGATCAAGCTGGACGATCTGGAAGACGCGCTGCGGGAAATGCAAGGGGATTTCATTGTGGCAGGAGACCTCAATGCCGAAGCTCTCGAATGGAGGATGGCCAGGCCGGACTCCATAGAGAAAAGATTCACGGAAGTGGCGTCGAGACTGGAACTATCAGTACTCAACACAGGATCGACGTCAACCTTCCGTAGGCCTGGATATAGAGAGACGATCACGGATGTCTCTCTAGCCAACGAATACCTTGTAGCAAGAGTCGCAGGCTGGCAGGTGATCGAGGATTATATCGGGGGCGAACATCAGTACATCCTATTCGATGTACATGATAGAAGGCCAGCTGTGACAAGTGTAAAGCGACTCCCCCGGAGGAACATTGCAAGAATGGATCGGGGGAGGCTGTCTTCGGTCATAGAGGAAGGATGGAGATCCCAACAAACTACTTCCGCGAGTCTATCGCCACTCGCACAAGCCAGGTTGATTAGCGCAGCAACCATGCAGCACATCCAACAGGCTTGCGCGATAGAGGTTCCAAAGAATGGCACGAAACGGCAGAGGCGCCCTGTGTACTTGTGGACGAACGATATCGCGGATCTTCGTATGAAGTGCTTAAGGCTACGCCGATTAGCACAACGAGTGTAGAGACACGACAACGACGCATCTCCTTTGGCCGCAGTCTACCAAGCGGCCAAGAAAGCCCTGAAGAGGACCATCAAGGCCAGTCAACGACGGTGCTGGAAGGAGCTGTGCCTGGATGACGACAAGAATCCGTGGGGATTAGGATTCCTCATCGTCACTCGCAAGCTGGGGACTAACACGAAAGGGACCCCTAAGGACGCGAGGTCGTTGGATCACATCGTGCATACTCTATTCCCCTCACAGCCGAAGAGAGAGATCAGCTTGTTTGCTCCCGGCATAATCGAGGTACCGCAATTCACGGAAGAAGAGCTACTCAGGACCGCATCTTCTAAGCGGAACAAGAAAGCTGCAGGTCCAGATGGACTTCCAGCAGAAATAATCAAAGTCGTCGCGCAAAGTAACCCTAAGCTCTTGCTGAACATGTATAACACGTTCCTCAGTGGGGCATCTTCACCGCTCCATAGAAGAAGCCGAGGCTTGGGCTCATTAGCAAGGGCAAGGGTCCAGTAGGGGCAGCTTCATCATGCAGATCTATTTGTGTGATCGAGACGGCTGAAAACTCCTGGAGAAGCTGCTAAAGCCAAGTCTGCACGCAGCCGTTAAGACTGCGGGGGTTCTTGCCTCCCGCCTGTATGGTCTTCGATCCGGCCTCCCCACCATCCACGCAGTCCAGGAGATGGTCACGGCCGCTAAAATGATGGAGCAAGGCAATCATTGAACTAGACCTGCTGGACACCTTAGATGTGAGAAATGCCTCCAACTCAGTCATGTTGGACCTGGCATGGGATGCGCTCGAACGTAAGTTCGGCTTTCCGAAGAACCTACTCCGAATTATTGACAATTATCTAAACGAGCGCTTCCTAGTATACATCACGAGTTATGGTCCAAGAAGCTTGGAATTGTTTTCGGAGGCAGACCAGGGCTCCATACTGGGACCGGATATATGGAATATATTCTACGACGGTAACTTTCTTATGTCAGTCCCAGAAGGTACTTTCTTGGTTGGGTACGCAGATGACATTGTAGTTGTCATAATGCGCAAGAGACATGGAGGGGGCACAGTTGCTGTTCAACCACGTCATGCGGTGAGTTACCTCTTGGATGGAAGGCCACGGGCTATCTCTAGCACCCTCGAAGCCAGAGGTCGTGCTAAATACGAGGAATTGCATCGGCACCTTGCGCAGCTTCATTTTAGGAGACGCGGCGGTCTAGACTGAGTCTGCTGTCAAATATCTCAGGGTTATGCTTGACAACAAGCTTAACTATGGAGAGCGTATTATAAGGGCTGCCGACAAGTCGGCAAAAGTAGTAGCCTCACTGGGCATTCTCCTGGCCAAAGTCAATGATCCACGGCCGTGCGTGAGGAGACTACTGATGCGTGCCGCCGAAGCAGTGCAGCTCTACGGTCAGGAAGTATGGGCCGAGGCGCTGTGAAAAAAGAAACACCGCAAGCGCTTAGCCGCGGTACAGGGGGGGGCGCCCTCCGGATCGCGTGCTCTTACCGCACAATCTCAGAGCCGGCAGTGCTAGTTGTCGCCGGAGTAATCCCGATCGATCTATTAGCCCAGGAGAGGAAATTCGTCTACCAGCAAAGGTGTGTCCTGGGAAAGGAGAGGGCATCTAGGCTCGCCAAGTCTACCAGCATCGACACCTGGCACAACAAATGGGAACAGGAGCATCGGGGCAGATGGACGGTCCGACTCATCAGTCGGCTAGACAGCTGAATAAATCGGGAGGCGGCAAAAGTTGATTTCTTCCTTACCCAATTCCTAACAGGGCATGGCCTGTTCCGCTCCTACCTGGCTAGAATGAGGAAGGTAGCAGACGCCAACTGTCCCTATGGGGACTCGATCAACGACGACGCCCACCACACGTTTTTTTTATGTACTCGGTGGGGCACCGAACGATTAGCAATGGAACAAGACCTTGGAGACATCTCGCCGGACAACATCGTCGAGAAAATGCTGCGTGGGCAGAAGGAGTGGAACAAGTTGGCCTGGTACGTCAGGTCAATCTTAAGCAAGTAGAAGAAGGAGATGGGTGGCGCATAGAAGAGCCGCCAACGTTGCTCCTGATTCCTGCCACGTAGAGCCGAAGAGGTAGTCCAATTAAGGCACAAGAAGCAGTGGCGCCATCGTGAAGTAAGGCCACATGACGGTGCCGTGATGGTTTTACTATGCCACTAGGATGGATTTGAGTTTAGTCGGTAGTGCCTATTCCAACGCTGAGCACGACACTCCTGGGACTTTAAGGGGGACGAAATGGTGAAGTGTCCTTCTGGTGGGCAGGACCCCTGGGTTGGTGCGTAAAGTTTGGCATTCTCAGTCCATCAAAGGAAAAGAAAAAAAAACTATTCATATTGCAATTATTATTGTTAATGTTATTGTTATTATTATTGTTATTGTAAATATTATTGACATTGTTATTATTATTATTATTATTATTATTATTGTTATTGTTATTGTTAT